AGCAGACCACGACCACATCGCCCACCGCTACGCAGGTGGAGCCCAGGCGGCAATCGCCGTCTTCTCTTCCTACACCAGCTCCACCTCTAGACAGCGAGCAGCAAACGAGGCGAGGTCGAGTCGAGAAGAGAGAGAGAGAGAGAGAGAGAGAGAGAGAGAGAGAGAGAGAGAGAGAGAGAGAGAGAGAGAGAGAGAGAGAGAGAGAGAGATAGAGAGCAATGGTGAGGGTGTGGAGGCTTGTGGACTTCGTNGAGAGAGAGAGAGAGAGAGAGAGAGAGAGAGAGAGAGAGAGAGAGAGAGAGAGAGAGAGAGAGAGAGGGGCATCAAGAACAATGGTGAGGGTGTGGAGGCTTGTGGACTTCGTCACGGCGGCTCTGCCAACTCGCAAGCCGCTGCTTTTGGTGATGTTCATTCTCCTGTCTCTGCGATGGGACTAGCTCAAGAGGCGCCGCCACCGGCGGCGCCGGAGTCTGCTCGGATCAAATCGTTCACTTATGCCGGGTCTGGCTGTCCGCCCGGATCAGCGGTAGGATCCGTATCTGAAGATGGCGAAGTGCTCACCCTCAAGTTCAGCAACTTCAGCGTTTCCACGTCCGGCACACCGTTGCGGAGGAACTGCGACGTGGCGATCAGCTTGCAGTACCCCGCCGGCTGGTCCTACAGCCTAGCATCCGTCACCCTTCGGGGATATGCCAACCTCGATGCAGGGGTGAAGGGCGTGCACAAGGTGAGCAATTACGTCCAGGGACAGCTCAGCACGGGTATTTCACCGGCTACCTCGTGGGCCCGTACAATGACAACTACCAGCACACCGGCGACCTGGAGCCGGTTGTCTTCAGCGAGTGCCACAAAGTCAGAGACGTCAACATCAATACCGAGGTGCGAGTCGACAACTCCGCGAATCCGACGGGAAATGGCATCTTGGACGTTGACACCAAGGACGTGCTCTTCAAGTTCGAGATTCAATGGAAGCTATGCAGCGAGGGAGTGGGGTGAATGAGAGAGCAGCAAACTAACGCGAGTGCTTCCTCCAAGGAAAACGGACCCTCATCGTGATCGTATGGGACCGGAAAGGCAGCTTGTACACATTCATGATGATGGTGCGTTGTGCTCGGGGGAAGACGGTAGCACTGCTACAGAACTGACAGAGTAGATCGGGTATCCAACAACAAGACGATGATGTTTCCATTCCCGTAGCAGATGAAGATGTTCTCCGTAGGCTCAAGACCGACTATGATGAGATCCAGTAAGCTTGAGTGTGCAGAGTTTCATCATGCTGAGCGTTTCTCTCCTTTCTTAGTACGTTCCGCGCCCACAGTCGTTTTTGAGGTGTCCGCGAATCACACCACTTTGCGTCGGGCTGGTGTTGCTGCACTTCCAAGCCTTATAATAGGCATTTGAGTACCGAGGAAGAGACCCCGCCGAGTCGGGAGTTCGTGATATCTCTGGTCCGAAGTTACATAGAGAGGTCGACTACTACTGACGTGCTGGGAGAGTAGATCGGTTGGCGACCTGCCGATACATCTTTCCTCTCGCCTACGGAGGAAGGTGTATCGTGTCACTTTCCTTATCTTATTAGCAGATGCAGTCCGCCTGAAACCGCAGAGTGTAACGTGAGTTCGTTCGAGCGAATAGAACATGGGGTAGTGGAAGTCGTATCGAGAGCGTTTTTTTTTTCTGGCGAGATGCTTGTGAACCAGCTCTGTGTCCGATGCAGGTAAGATAAGGCAAGTTAACGACTAGCGAGTAGACGTAAGACGGCCCGGGCTAAGGAGCTCGGGCGGGCGAAAGCTGTTTTGCTCAATTTTCGAGTCTGCTTGACCCTGAGGCGGGACCTACTGCGGTTCTATATTATGAGGTCCATACTGCGAATCATGCTGCAGTTCATACTGGAGTTTTGTGCCTTTGGTGTGACTGCGGAGACTGGCGGTGCTGTGGCGGTTGGAATCGATATACTGCGGTTCACACTGTGGTTCCTAGTCCGGTTGATGCCTTCAGTGTGACTGTCCAGGCAGGCGGCGCTGCGACTGATTTAATCTGCATGGGATAATTTAATCGCCGGTGAGATGGCACGCCGAGAGGTAGAACAAGGGCGTGCTTGGTCGGGTCGTTTCATAGGCTTACCAACAGACCGGTGCTATAGGATCTGCTGTCCATGGCCTGAAACACTTGTTCTCTGATTCGATGGACGTCGTCGAGGACGAGTATGTGACGAAGACATCTTCGACCGGCATCCTGTAGGACGGCTTGCACACTTGCTACTCTCACAGTCAGAAATGATATGTCCTTCGTATGCGGTCAGCCTGGGTCAGGGAGCTGATCGGTACACAGGCCTGCCTACTTCGCTAGAAAGCATCACTATTTGTACAATCTCTCTCTCTCTCTCTCTCTCTCTCTCTCTCTCTCTCTCACACACACACACACACACACACACACACACACACACACACACACTATTCTCTACTCTCCAATTTTGTGTTTTTCTTGACAGGGTTCCACGAATTTCCACATACGAGAGACACGTCAGTCATCATCCACTCCAAATCCCAAGTTCATCAAATCAAACCACTGAATATTTTTTTGGGACCATTTCTCGATTTATCATTGTCATCCTTCATTGCGCAGGGCGGCAGGGGCCATGCTAATCTTCTCTCTCTGTATCGTTCCAATTTTAAAGGATGTCCCGAAGGACCCCCCAATTTTTTGGAGAGTGCGGAGTAGAGTGGAGATAGACCCTTATGAAACGGTATTCACCAGTTCGCAGTAGCGAAGGCAGATCCCAGGGCTCGATCCCTAGTTCCCCGTCTTACCTGTGTATAGTATCAGTGTCAACCCGTAGACTTGAACCTGCGACCTGTAGGACCGCAAGTGGTAGGCAGGTTTTCGTAGGTCACAGCTTAGAAGGGAATCGAACTGTAGACTTGTAGGGTAGGAGTCTAGACAGTTCCGAAGTCGTAGCTGTAGGATGTCTGAAGGGTCAAGATCGTAGCTGCTACTTACCTGAAAGGGCAAAGTCGTAGCTGCTACAGTACCGAAAGGCCAAGTAGAGGTTTCTAGATCTGGCCTTTCGGAGTCAGCCCCAGTTTAGGCCGAGGCAAGTGGGCAAGTGGTATAGGTCCACTACGCAGAGTCAGCAGTCCCAGGTGGCCCAGTCTGGTCCAGTCAAGCAAGTACCGTCTGGGACTGTGCACATCGTGGGCCAAGGGATACAGGGCAGACCAACGCCGCACAGAAGTATAAATCAAGTGGCTGCGTCCAGCCAGCCATTCAAGCGCTGCCTCAGCAGCTTGTGCGAGGAGGTCTGCAGTGCGCCCGAAGTCGAAGTGGGCAGTGAAGTGTAGTATAGCGATAGGGTAGTGGCAGCTAGCGCTGCCATAGCTGTAGTACAGTGTGTGTGTGT